AAGCTTTTAATGAGAATGCGGATTCAATTCAAGAGGCACATGTTGTTAACATTAACGTTAATGTTAAATAAATAAATGATTCTCCTCTTAAATTAATGAATAAAAGAACATTTATGAAAAGTACACGTACCAAATACATAGAGGGAAAAAAAAAAAAGTAAGCCCTGTTTGATGGTCATTATAAACGAAAATTGGGGAAAAATAATGTTTTGAATTGTGAGTTTTTAAAGAATGTGTAATTTAAAAGTAAGAAAAAATTTTGAATTTACGTTGAAAAAATATTTAATTGTAATCACGTGTAGTTGAAAATAAGTATAAAAAAATTTAATTTATAGAGAGTCAAATTTATAAAGGTATCTTGAAAACAAATTCTAGATAATAAATAAATTATTAATTTTTAAAACGAGCTAGTTCAACTTTTCTAAGCAAACATGTCAATTCAAGATTGATAATTATATTTTTACATGTGCACACTTCCTCAACAGCTTTTCCGTCACATCCTGGGCCATGACCATGAGTAAGTTTTGGATAATGTAATATAATAATGGACGTGACCCACCTAATTCTTTATTTCAAAATTAATTGAAATTGCATCATCTAAACCCTCAAATTCTCTCTATTTATAACCCCCTCAAGGCATCCGCTTTGCAATACACTCTCCTGCTTCTTCAGACGTTCCCTTGTTTGAATCCTTTGCATCAAAAAACAATGTTCAGACAACATTGTCCGAATCAAAACCCAAAATCATGTCCTGCAGTTGCAGCCTACATTCTTCTGGCGTTCTTTCTTTTCAGCCAATCATGGCCGTCGATCATGGCTGATGAAAAGGTGGCTAAATCCCATACTTGGCAAGAAGCCTTCAANGGCCGTCGATCATGGCTGATGAAAAGGTGGCTAAAGCCCATACTTGGCAAGAAGCCTGCAAACTACTTGGAATAAGCTGGAATTCTAACGGCACACTGAAAAGGGAAATACAAATCCCTATGGTGGATGCCACCCCTTCTGTTACTGACCCGAATAGCCCGCCGGTAGCGCTCTCGACAGATATACAGCTCAGCCCCAACAGCAAGGCCTATGTCCGCATCTATATACCTGTCAAACCCCCGAAGGACACCAAGCTGCCTCTTATAATATACTTACATGGAGGTGACTTTGTGTTGTTCAGTGCATCAACTGTCATTTTTCATAACTTCTGTAACGACATCGCCTCGCAGTTCCCGGCGGTGGTGGTCTCGGTCGAGTACCGGCTGGCCCCTGAAAACCGCCTCCCGGCAGCTTTTGATGATGCCTTGAATGCTATCTTTTGGATTAAGAACCAGGCATTAGGTGTTGGAGGCCGTGACCCATGGCTTGACTATGCTGATTTTTCTAAAGTTTTTCTACTGGGCAGTAGTGCTGGTGGAAACATTGTTTACCATACGGCCCTACGTGCACTGGATTTCGATCTTCGACCAATACAAATTCGTGGACTTCTATTGAATCAACCTTTCTTTGGTGGAGTGTTCAGGACACCATCGGAAATTAGACTTATGGAGGATCCCAATATTCCTTTGTACATGTGTGACGTGTTGTGGACATTGGCGTTGCCACCTTTTGCCAATCGAGATCATGAGTTTTGTAACCCGATATCTGGTGGATCTTACCTAGGACGGGTCCCACGTTTACCGAGAATCTTTGTAAAAGCTGACGAAGGTGACCCTTTGGTCGACCGAACAACCCAATTAGTACTGTTGTTGTTGGCATACAAAGTACCTGTGGTTTATCGTTATAATCGGGGTGGTTTTCATGGTATCGAACTTCAAAACAAGACTGCTGCTCAAAGTTTGTACGACGATATGAAGCGTTTCATCTACTCTACTAAGTTTACTGATGATGAAGAATCTCATGCTTCTTACTAATGGTTTTTAGACTCCAGTGAAGGCCATGTTTTAGGCATGTTGCTCTTGTAGCTGTGTGCATTATCTTGAGTTTCAATATTATGTATGTGGGGTTTGAAATCTTGAATAAATTATGAATGGCTTGTGTTCAATCTTAAATTAGTTTATGAGGTGGGCTATTTTGATTTGTAATTACGTATACTCATTATAGTTTGCAGATTACTCGACAAAATTAAATAGAAATTTAATAAAGGATTAATCTACTCTGCAAGGCCACATTGGCCTGGCATTATAGCAGGGCCTTTTAATGGAAGATACTAGCTTTCTATTAATTAGATCACACATTTTCTGTGACAAACAGAAATTTTTAGTCCATGTTTCGTGGGGGATTGAAATCAGATTTTTAATGAATTTTTATAAAAATGATAAACTATATGTTTAAAAATTGTAGATTATATAAAATATGTGATTAAAATTAATTATTGACTTTGATTTAAATTTAAATTTATACAAAATAGGGGCTTAGTTTGGTTCTCATATCAAGGATGTTTGGACAAACTGTTTTTCCTTGCAGAGAGTAAAAAGAGAAGAATAAGGGTCCGTTTAACATGAATTTTGCTTCATGTAGAAAAGTTTTATTGAGAAAATTACATTGATTTTTGCTTGAAAACTAATTTTTAAAATAATTTCATATTCCGAAAGTACTTTAAAGGAAGCCAACCATATTGGACAAACTTCTTCTAAAAACTCTTTTAACTAGAAGAATTATTTTCATAAAATTAGTCAAATGGATTTAAAAACAAATTTTGAATCTCAAATGCTTATTTTAATAAGAATTGCTAGCTTTCTAGCTAATATTAGATAACACATTTTTCATGACGAACAAAAATTTAACTTCAATTTGACTCTTCGTATAAAGGATGCTTGGACAAGCTCTTTTTCTTTGCAGAGAGTAAAAAGAGAAGAGTAAGTTCACGTACAATTCCTACTTCTCATCTTCTTCGATATAATGGAACCCTGGATCGATAAGTGGAAGGAAGTCACACATTGTGACTAAATTACACAAGACCATGTGTTCTCATTATATTATCTTGATTGTGTAGGAGTAAAAAAATCAGTTATAACTTCTGTTTGAGTTTCATTTTTTCTTAAAGTTACCTTTTATAGTCAAGCTATAATTTTATTTACACGTTTCGTATAATCAGCAAGTAATACTCACTTATCCTCATTTATTTTCTTACAAAATAACTTTTTTAATTAAGAAAAGAAACCTGATCATGGGCATATAATTATTACATTCTAATAATATCTCATCCAACTTACAAAATCTGCTAGCATCGGATTCCATTTTCTTGATATAATAATTAGCATAGGTTCCCTACATAAAAAAATCATTTGATTTTTCTGGACATATTCCATCATCAGGTAAAGAAAGAAATGCTTTCTATCAATACATGTGCACAAACAGAACATTTACACACACTCACAAGGGAGGGTGGGTGGGTTGATGATTTTTTTTTTTCACTCTTTTATTGCGCAGACCCATCTAAGGATGGCAAAAAATCTGATAAATTCGATACTCGCGAGTCCCGTCCCAAGCGGGCGCAGAAATTACCTACTTAATCGAGTATTCGGGTTGGAGATGGGGAGGGTAACTTTTCCCCCGGTCGGGTTCCGGAAGGGAACGGATAATGGATGCCCCGCCCCGTTTATTTTTAGAATTCAATACTTTAAATGGAAAATTTCACGAAATTTCATTAGTTCTAATAGAAAATGGCAACTAAAATTATCTAAAAAATATAACAAACAATAAATATCTTAGTTTACCAAATATATATGAATAATTTAACTTTTAAAAATAAGTAAAGATTAAAAAATATATTATTTTCTCAATCTAATGAATTAGGGTTGTTACTCATATAAATAATCGTGCCCAATTGAATTATGTGGCAGACGGCAGGAGCCCCACACCTTACGTGGCAACATAGACGACCCTGTCATATGCATATAGGCGACCCCTTTCCTATGGAAAGAAACCGGACCGACCCCATATGGGCAGACGTCCCATGTAGGAGCTAGTCCTGATGAGGTGGTGACGAGATACTTGATAGATCTTGTGGTGAAATGATTGACAAGACAATTCACTGTTAATTGTGCATCTGCACACCTACGCGGTCAAATCCTACTTGCACGAGCTAGGACTTGTAGATACAAAGGGGGGCCTAACATTTAATGCCTTGATTGATGCGTGCAACAAGAAGGGTCAATCATTCTGATGAGGCCATGTGACCTATCATCCGACATGTTTTGTTTATCCAGCTTAAGTATAAAACTCACAGTTAGTGTCATTCAAGGTTAATGTAAGTTTAGACTCTCAGACCTATATTCTTACTGCATAAACTCTCAGTGTTCTACTCCCAAACCGACCCTCCCTTTTTCGATTGGAGGCTCACTTTCTAAACTCCCCCACACCCTAAATTGTTCCTCTAGCTGGCTCAGTCGTTTAACCAACGTTTGGACCAAAGGTGTTAGGGTTTTAGCTTACGCGGACGTGAGAGGTTTTGAGATTTGTTGGCCGCATCATTGATACAATTTTTGGGGTCAATAGGGGTAATAAAATGAATTATCAAAAATTTAAAAAAAAAAAATTTAATGGGGTAGTAAACTGGAGGGGCGGGGAAGGTGGCCTCGACCCCACCCCGTCCCATCTCGTTGCCATCCCTAATCCACCCTCATTTGAGAGGTTGTAAGAATTCTGTGAGCTCATTCTT